GGCGCAGCGGCTCACCCTGCCGGCCGGGCGCGACCGGGCGCCGGGCGGGAGAGCCGGGCTCGCTCGGGGCCGCTCTGTGGCAGCGCTTCCCTTCTCGCTTCTCCCTTCTCGCTCCTCGCTGAGGGTGCGGCGTTGGGCTGCGGTGCTGCCGCGGGGGAGAGGCCGCCCCGGCAGCCGTTCACTCCACAGCGGGTGTCTGGGCCAGCCTGCCCGCCACGGGCCGTGCCAGGCACAGAGGGTAAATCGGGAGGGGTGGTCACCCATTGCTGTGGGGGTTTCTGCTGGGTGTGAGGATAAACTCCCGAATCACCTGTGATTCTGTAAGGTCCTCTTCATGCGAAGAGACCTTCACACCACCCTCGTCTCACCCAGTGAGCAGGATGAGTGCCAACAGTGATTCCTGCAAGAAGGACAAAAGTACTTGAACTGCAGGGATGCGTCGCTAAGCCAAGAGCTCTTGGAGGTTTTCCAGCAAAAGCCAGTCCCATAAATAGCAGCAAAGGTAGCCACAACTGCCACAGCCCTTGCAGTGGTTGATGTGGAAGACATTTTCACTTGCACATAGCAGGCAGTGGAAGTGTGGCAGTGTGCAAATGGTGCAAGGTGGTGAAGCAGTAACCAGGTCATTACTAAGTGTGACTTTCTACAGTTGAGTTTGTATCTTGCTTTTCTCTCTTGACTATAAAGGCTGTCTAGATAATCATCTCCAATACAGTGGAAGCCTCAATATAATTGAGATGGATTCAGCTCCATGTATTTTAACATAGCTGAAGCATCATTAGAAATCTATGCAAAACCAAAAATATTCACAACTGGGGTTAGTGTCTTGTAAAGCAGTGATTGCAAAAAAGGGTTTAGGGAATGAGGTCTGAACACCTGCTTTATACAAAGCAGCTGAAGGAGCTCTAGCTTATTGATCAGAAGATGAAGAGAGAGGTTAATGTAAAGCTATAAATTCCTGTCAAATGAGACAAAGATAGAAAAGAAATCAAATTTCTGAAACTGCAGCTAGACAATGCCAATCTATAAGTATGATGCCCTTCTGTATACAGCACTGCTGCTGGGTGAGTGGATCATTTTACACTGTTTTAACTTTTCATATCTTCCTGAACTAAAATGCTGCTTGGTAGGAGCTCAGAGCCTCTGCTTCGGTCTAAGTCGGCTTGGTCTCCAAAGGTACTAACTGTCAGAGTCACAGCAAGCAGCTGGATGGCTCCAACCATGCGCTCTCTGCTGTGCCTCGGGTGTGGGATGTGGTGGAGGCAGCTCTGAGCACTCTAAGGCTCCTGTGTCCTTGGATCTATGGTGGAAACAAGAGTTCTCCAGCCTTGCTAGCAAAGTGCTGTGGCCTCAGCTAGGCTGACATCGTGGGGCTCGATTCCCAGTGGCCCGGCTTCATTCTTGCCTGTAGTGTTTCACGTGAAGTTCTTGCATAACGTGTCATGAGATTCTTTCTTATTGTGGATCCTCACTCCTTTGAGACTACTCAGATCCCAAGACATCAGGCTTTCTATTGATTCCAAGTGACATCCAAAAATGCTGTTTCCTTCTTCATGCTGTGCCTGGCTTTCTGGACCTACCACATATGCATCATTGCAGCAGACAGGTACTTTTTAGTACTAGTGTTCTTGAGACAGGACATGTAGTGGATTATACCCCTATGCTTTTCTCTAAGCTTTTCCCATCCATAGCTCACTACTGTTCAGAGGTGTAGCCAAGTCTCTTGATAACCAATGACACAGTTCTTTCTTTGGACTTCCAATTTTTTATTTATCATCATGACATTGTAGCACAGCCTATCAAAATTATGCCATGTTTTCCCATGTTAGTAGGAAATTTATTGTCTTTGTTTTGCTCTTGCTCAAGACAAGAGCAATTTTTAATTACAGCATCTCTGAGTTTTCTGTAATTCTTTCCTTTCAAAAAGCACTAAGTTCCTTCCTAAAATTATCTTTTCATACTTTTAAAAATCAGTCCCCAAAAAGCTATGGTGCAGAGGTCTAAATTCTTATGGAAATAGCATGTTAATTAGTTTCAATAAGTAAAAGAAATGTGACAGCAAATGGCTTAATATATGGAGTTTACTCAACTCAATCCTGTAAGTAATTTCTGGAAATTAGTTCACCTGGGAAAGTACAATTAAATTCCTGGTAGATCACTAGAATAAAGATTTCCATGTGCAGCTCAAACTGCAAGTTTGCAGCAGTGAACACATTCTGACTTGTGGCATCATGTATCCAACGGAGCCTACCTGGAGCTATTCTGGGGCAACCAACTATATACAGTATATTTTAGAGTGCACCCAGGGATTTCTGGGTTCTGAGGGCAAGCCCAGCATTTTCTGCTTGGCTCAGCCCCTGCCTTTATTCTGCAGCGTCCTCTGACAGATAAAGCAGGTGATCTGAGCTTTCCCTGAGAAGGACCCTGCTGCCGCCTGCTGCAACACTGGGTAGGATGTCAGTTGGCTGGAGTTCAGTGGCAGTGCTGTATCCAAATGACAAACATCTACAGCTGGCACAAAGTGTGTGCTTTGGGGAGCACATCAGGTGTTAGTGTGTGCCTGTGCCCAAGCATTAAGGAAGAGTACAGACAGAAGCCCATATCCTGGAAGGGGCCCATGCACTGTGGCTCCAGGGTCTACCTCATTGTCACGTGGAACATACAAATACATTGAGTTGGGTAGGGCTTTTTATCCTCAGGGAATGGCAACTTTTTCAACACCGAAATGTTCCTTCGGCTCCCCGGAGTGATCCCTTTCTCTAGCCCACTCTGGATGAGTCCAGAGTGACTCAGTGAAATTGTCTGTTTGAGAAGGTGTCAGAGCTCATGTAGACAACCTTATGATCTGGAGAACAGGAGGCAATGCACTTCCAAGGAGCAGGGACCTGGGTAGTCCTCCTTCTTCAAATCCGTACACACACTGTGTGAGGATCTGCCTTCACAGAAGGACAAGTGGGCTGTACGAACCAAGCTACTTGAGTGGTACATGTAAACTTGGCCAGTGGCGACAAGTAATAGGCCTTGAACATCTCTTCCACTGTGTCCTATATCTGATGTAAAGCCGGCACTGGAGAGAGGGTTTCTGTCTACACATTGAAGATACCAGTTGAGTTTGAGTTTAGCCAGCTGGAATAACACCACATTAGTGTAGGGCCATAATAGGATACCCTAGTCTGTGGGTCTTATTCAAGGCCAACATTCCACTCTGGGGACCATGGGGCTCAGTGGACTCTGTACAGTGACTGTGCTGCCATGGTTCCAAGCACCTAGATGGAGAGTGCCTCAAGAGAGCCTCTTTTAAGAAAGAGAATAGTTCGCACAGCTTTCTTTGCTTGCTTTTGCTCTTTTTTTTCTGTCTAGGCCTGTCTAGCCCACTAAGTTGTATTAATCTCAGACACATAAATATTGTTTGAACATGGAATTGATTGTGCTTTTAATCTGATTTACTTAGAGACAGGCCCATGTAATCGCATTGTCTTACCTCCTGCTCGTTCATGTCCATCTCTTAAATCATTTGCAAATCTCAGCCAAGTTTGATAAAGCAAGAGAGCTCTTAAAGATATTAAATTCTTACAAGTGTGAAAACTGGAAACTGGATAAATTAAAAGTGGGAGCTCAACATTTAGCTGTTTTTGTGGCTTACTGGCAAGTTAATCAATACCCCCGTAGCGCAGAACCAGACATGGCATGCCACCTCCTGCTCAGCAGGAAAGTGGGTAATATGGGAAGGATGAAAGGATGGCATGATTGGGATGGCCGTGGGGATAGCATGGAGTGACTGCTGAGAACTGGTTTCGTCAGAAGTAACTCAGCAAAAAGCTGCTTTATTTTGATAGGGAATATCAAAACTAAAACTGACATCAGAAGAAGGGCCATTAGGTCAAAATCAGGAGGGTGGGTTTTTGGGTCTACCTTATGTGTGACATCTGTGAAATCACTGACTCTTCTATCCTTCAGTTTTTCCATCAAAACAACATAAAGCATTCAGAGCTCCTCATGTAGAAAGGGCTGCAGATTTGTTATTTATGAACGTAGTTTGGTGTTTCTAATGCTAGTCAGGGTGGGAAATGCTACAGCACGTGCAAATCAAGCTAAAAAGTGTTGTATCTTTTCCATTGCCTTAGGAAAAAAAAACAACTGAGGGAGGAGGACGGGGCTTAGCATCAGTGCAAGATGAGAGAAGGGTCCCATTAATCCCTGTTCAATCTAGCCCAGTGCCTCATTTCCCAAAGGCTCATTTAGAACAACAGTTCAATTTTTTGCAGCTTATGAAAGACATGCTTGCTCCACACTCTTTTTCGTATGACTGAAAGCAGCAGGATAGCCTTGACATGTAAGTAACGCTGGTTTCTAACTACCAGTCTTCTTGCGGCTGTGGGCTAGGCAGCTCTTGAAAATTTTGCATCTAATTTTAAAACAAAGGCTGGCATTCAGCAGCCTCTGGAGGAAAGATTGGAGTTTCGGGGTGTCTCCAGTGAGTGCCTCCGGCCGGAGGAGGAGGCTGGCTGCCTGCAGGGTGCACTGCTGTCCCGCACTGTGCAGCCGCCCACCCCACGGGCATCCCACCGGCAGAAGCTTCATCTCCAAGTGGGCTTACATGGATTTTTTTAAAGCATAGCAATAAATACGCCAAAATACACTGACTGCGGGAATGGCCATGTTGTGTTTGTGAAAAATTAAACTTTACCCTTGTTAAGCGCCTGCGCTGCTGGCTCTGCCCTTCAGTCACCAGAGGACAAAGTGAAGCCACTGTTTCTCGGGGAAAAAGAGCTAAACACATTATACTTAAATATTTTAATGTATGTGTCCAGTGGACTGTATGACAGGTCTCAGTTGTTGATCTTGCAGTTTGTCCTGTTTAAACGTGAAGTTCATGGAAGGCTAAGGTAGAGGTCGTATTGCCACTTGAAAAGGCATCCTCTAGAGTTTTGAGCCTGTGGAGCTGTTTCACATGAGGCAGAGTATGACTCATGCTAATGAAAAGGGTAAAGAAGATTTTTTTAAAGAAATATATCACAGTTAAATTAGTTTAGACAGCATGACATCAGAGAGTAATTAAATAGGTTTGTTGGAATTCCGTTTCCAATTCCTGAGTTCAGGTTTGTAAAAGATTTCTGAGCACCTGCAGATCTCTGTGTGTGAAATATTTTCACTGGAAAGGATTCAAAACTTTAAAAAAAACTTTTAACACAGAGGCAGCATTACGCCATTCTTCCTTCTTGGAAAAAAAACCCCCTTGGATTTAAACAGGACTCCTTCAAGTT